AGAAGTGAACGTTAAATATATAAGGCAAAAAAACCAAGAAATAAAAGAGTTAGAAGTAAAATATTATAAGGAAATGGAAGGCAAAAAAGTCAACAAGGAAACTTTTTATTGTGCTGTATGCCGAGGAAGATGCAAGGGGATGGAAAAAGGATATTTTCATTAAATTCTTTTTGTTGTTGTTAATTTTGTATATCAAAGACATTATAAAACTATTATAAAAATTGTTGTTATAACAAACAGAAATACAACATGAGACCCAAAGAAAGAAGAAGAAGAAGAAGAAAAAAAAAAAAAAGAGAGAGAGAGAGAGAGAGAGAGAGAGAGAGAGAGAGCAGCATAATCGACCATCAGGCCCAAGAGGCCCAAATAGTCCGAATGGTGGTGGAATGTTTGGGGGAATAATTGGATTGGTGGGTGTTCTCATAGCCCTGTTTCTGATTTACCTTCTTTTCTTGATTAAGAAATGATGGTGGAATAATTATTGTGTCAAGTGTGGTAATCAATTCTGAACCTGAAATTTATTCGATGGGAAAAGAATGTGTTGGCCGTGTCGGGAAAAGGAGAACAAGCACCAGCCAAACCCCGAATAATTTTCAATCAAAAAGTAAAGGAGAGAGGTTTATTGTTTTGCTTCGGTAAAATTAATTCATGACCGAACAAGACAAAATAACAGCCTTAATCATTAGCACCCTGCTCGGAGTAATTGGTAATATTTTGTGAGGCCTATATGTTTGATTAGTCCCGTGTGCCAAGTGTAAACAGCAAAAAACCCTCAACCGACTATTTAAAAGCCAGTGTGAGAAGTGTGAACGAGGCAGGAGAGAGATTGAGTATTAGACTATGCCTTATAAAGATATTGAGAAAAGACGGGATAGACAAAAAAAGTGATTAGCCGAGAAAAGAAAGAAGTTAAAAATTGGGATAGACAATAATTCAAGGATAGACGAAATTGTCGACCCCTCAAATGTCGAACCCGAACCAATTTTAAAAAGTGTGGGACCCACAAACCCCAGAATTGAGAATGTCGTCCCTGAAAATGCTAACCTCAAAACAATCGAGGGTAAGGAATATGTTTTTATTGAAGGTCGGTGAGAACCAAAAATATGAAGCTTTGAAACCATGCTAGAAAAGTTAGGAACCAACCCCAACCATTTTAATCAGGAGTGAATCGAGAACGAAAAGCAAAGGTGTCGAGAATATTGACGAAGGAACTGTCCCCATTTCCTTATAATATTTTACTTCTAACTCTTTTATTTCTTGGTTTTTTTGCCTTATATATTTAACGTTCACTTCT